AAGAGGAAAGAGACCTAAGAAGTATTGTGGAGGGAGGAGTTCCCTTGTAGGTTCACGAGAAATACACATTGGGAGGGCTTTGGAAGTTAGAGATGAGGAGAAATAGGTTTGAGAGAAGTTGGAGGCTGCTGGGGTTGGTCTGCTGGGGCACTGTGAGGCATTCCCACCTCCCACATACATCTGCTCATGGCCCTTGTTTTGTAGTAGGACTGTCTTCTCCTTTGCATTTGGTGTATTGTATTTGCTCTTTGAAAAAGGATAACCAAGGTGTTTCTGCTTAGTTCAGACTAAACGTAAATCTGAATTCCTATGTCTACCTTACTTATTCTTTTTTGATGTAATGTTTTTATCTTTTTGCGTAGTGACTGAGAGTGACCATTTTCATAACTGCTGGTGGTTTTGACTGTTAAGTCAGTTCATGTAGAGCTTTTCATCTTCAAAACACAGTTTGAATGTATACTGTTCTGAAATTTTTCTTTTGATGAGAGATTAAGCCACCTACATAGGCCTTGGCAAATTAGGCTTTTACAGTGATAGAATGACTCCATCACAAGATGTTTTCAGCTGTCTGCAAGCCAGTAATGTTTTTAAGATTTGCTTTAATTTTACACTGTTGTTTGAGCTCCCTTATTCAGTTTGTGGACGTACAAAACTGATAGCTTGATTATGCCCCTTGTTTCCAGATGTGCTTGCTCCCCAGTATCCTTGGCAGTCAAGTGATATGTCAATGAACATGCTACCTCCTAATCATAGTAATGACTTCATGTTGGAGCCCCCGGGACACAATAAAGAGAATGAAGATGATGTAGAAGTGATGTCAACAGACTCCTCAAGCAGCAGCAGTGACTCAGACTAGGTACAGGAGGGACAGTATCCCTAGTAAACCTTTCCTGTGGTGAAGGTAGGTTGGATGCTGTTAATCACAGTCCCTTTTATTATGCTGGCAGCCCTGTACAGGGAGAAGATACAGCCAGCTCAAAAATAAGAGTGGCTAATTTCAAACCATGAACTTACAATTTATATGTATATTTTTTTTTCCCATTAGATGTTCAACTAAAATGACTGGGAACTTTCTGCTGGATGAGAGATGTCAAATTTCAAGTGCTGATGTAAATGTGTGAATGTGTATGTTTGCAAGAGATGTGTGCATTTGTATATATATATATATATATACTATACATATTAGATGACAACGTTCCTGGGACAAAAGGTGTAAGGGGAATCCCCTTGTATGTTTGCTAGTAACTCAACTCTTTTGAAGACAGCCTTTTCTATGACACAGAAATGAGGCATAAAATTTGTAACTTTAATACCTTTTTTGTTACTGCTGAAATGCATGTTGTTAATCACCTAGTGTGTTCTGAGAACAAAACCATGGCAATAAGGTGTTTAAAAAAAGAAGTTTGTAATTATTGTAATATATAATAAACTCACCTTTGATGCAACTTTGCTGCACTTTGCAAATGTAAATCTTAGGTTTGTTGTGCGAGTTCGTTAGTCAGCACGTTTCATCTCAGTGTGTGTGTGTGTGTGTGTGTGTTTGATTTCTGATTAAGTTTCAGAAGTTAGTGCTCCTTTTATTGGGATGTGTAATCACAGAATTACAAAATGGCCCGGGTTGGAAGGGACCTCAAGGATCATAGATCTCCAACCTCCCTGCCACATGCAGGGCCACCAACTTCCCCCTTTAATACTAAACTAGGCTGCCCAGGGCCCCATCCAGCCTGGCCTTGAACACCTCCAGGTTTGGGGCATCCACACCCTCTGTGGGCAGTCAGTTCCAGCACTTCACTCTCATAGTCAAGAACTTTCCCCTGACATCCTTCTCTCCCCTCAACTTAAAACCATTTCCCCTTGTCCTGCTGATATTTACTGTTGTAAAGAGTTGACTCCCCTCCTGTTTGTAGCCTCCCTTTAGGTACTGAAAGGCTGCAATGAGGTCACCCTGCAGCCGCCTTCAGGCTTTTTCCCTTTGCAGTGTGTCAGTATTAGAAGCAGCAGAGCAGTCAGCACCTGCAAGTCTGTTCTTTTCAGCTGAGCCTATCAGGTACACACAACTGCAGACCCTAAAGCAGCGATGTAGAATGGCCATTTGCCAGACACCACAGAAATTTTGGTTAGGTATCCCAGGGCCATGGATGCTTTGGAGCACACTGCAGATTCAGCTCTTTTCAGTTCAGAAGGAGCTCACTTATTATTTGGTCTTTGTCACCTATAATTTTTTTCAGTTCTTTGAACCTGTTTGTTTGCTTCAGCAATTGCATTTTTACCTCAGCTGTTAGTGTTCTTTTATCTTTCCAAAGTCATTTCTCTTGGCTTTCTTTGCTCTGTTTTGCTTAGGGAGTCATATGATGACAGCTACTCTTTTATTTTTGTGATTTGATCAGATTACTCATGCAAACTGTTACTTATACCGGTTACAAGTTTCTGCCCTGCCTTACTGTTAAGGCTATCTGAAACACAGATCAAAGTTCTCTTAACTTCTGCATATTCCGTGCAGGAAATAGCTGTTAAATCAAGAATCCTTCCTCATTTGTTCAGGCAGGCCTTCAGCAGTGACAGTAATGATACCATATGACCAATATATATATGAGTCCCATAGGGATATAGAAATGAAAATCACCTCTTCAGTTAGGTTCAAGCACTTAAAGGGAATATGGGCAATTTGGTTTTGTCTCAGCTATCACTTTTGGAAGTATTTTCACTTCCTAAGATTTTTTTATCTCCGTTTCACAGTTAGAAGTAATTCTTATTCATAGGTATTTTAATCTTTATGCTAGGATCAGCTTTTTCTCTTTGGTGCCTACTTTCCAGCTGTCTTTTAAGATAAGTGTTTGCCCTTTAAAAGAGGCCAGGTGCATTTGACACCATCTCTGGATGCATTCAAAGCCAGCCTGGATGTGGCTCTGGGCAGCCTGGTCTGGTGGTTGGTGACCCTGAACAAAGCAGGGAGGTTGAAATTAGATGATCATTGTGGTCCTTTTCAACCCAAGCCATTCTATGGTTTTATGATTTGGATCAACATAAATTAACCATCCTAACAAGTAATGATTACTTAGAAGCGTAACGTACCCCAAAGTCTCATATGGCAATATCATGTGATTCACTCATTTAAATACTGAGAAGGTGGGTGGTTCTTTCCAGATATAAATAAAAAAGGAACAGAAGCCAGAGTTTTGTGAAATAAACACTTTCCTGGGTTGTTTACTGGTCTGTTAAGGGATTAAAAGGTACCTCTAAGTTACCTGTTTGATATATTTAAGAAATCAGCTTTTCTCACAGTTCGCTTTGCTGCTCTCGTGCATAAAATTAGATTTGGCACATCAGATGCATCCTAGATAAAGTTTCATTGTGTAAACACTTCAAACTATTTGTTCAGGAATGTTTTTTTCTGAGTGGTATGTCAAGGTGCTGGCTACTATAAGCAATTTAATATAAACTTGCAAAGGTTTAACTGCATGTTGTGTTATTCAGTTGCTTAGATGAGTACAGAATGCATTTTCCTACTTACTTTAATTTGATTTTTGATATTTCTGCTTAGTTGAAAAGAAGAACTAAAAATGATTGAGCATCAAATATTGGGAGTGCTAGGGGATGCATTTCTCACAGGTGTGAGAAATAGAAATGCAAGGTGCATTTAGAACAAGTGAACTTTGGGATTGCTGATAGCTGATTGCAGTAATGCACTGTCATTTAATCAATCCACTTAGGAAGGGAATGGTAACCCTGACATATGGTGATGCTGTGTCCTCATTTCAGTAGCTACTAGTCTACTTACGACAGATGGAGTGAATATAACCATTAACTGTAACTGCAATTATTGCACTGCAAACTATTATATGCTGACCTGGGTTTTCCCATCAATACTTAGATGCCTTGCAATAATTAGAAGACCACTAAGTTGTTTGAATTACCAATTTTTTTTTTTAATTATTCATTGGGACAGGTGGGCTGGACATCTGTCAACTCTTCCTGCTACCGCTTTGTTGACAGCTGAATGGAGCAATTATTAGTAAACGTGAAGTTGCTTTTGGGAAGAAAATCTCCACTTCAGAATAGAAAAATAGATTTCATACAAAGGTAGAGCAGTAACGGAATTTTCATTGGCATCTTTAATTTCAAAACTGCTTTTTAACAAAATCTTTTTTCATAGAAAACCTGTCATAAGGGAAGCTGCATATAGAGTTTGGAGCAGTAGCTGTCTAGGAGACATCTTTGTGCCTTTTATCATCTTCCTGTTTCACATCAAAAAGAAACATCTCCATTAAAGAATGTTTCTATGCAAAGTAGGGAAGAGCTTTAAGCTATTCAATCTCATGTAGGAATTGCCAAGTCAGTGCATAATTTAAGACAATTTTAATCTTCCACTATTGTGCTTCTTTTATTTAAAGAAAATAAACACATCTCAGATAATTTTCTACAATGGATATTGTTAAACAAAACAAACAAATGTATTTTAAAATAACCCTGGAGAGAAAAGAAAATAAGGCAGTTATGTGATTTTTTTAAAGTCACAATCTGTCCCTACCAAAAATTAATGGTTAAAATCCAGCCTGGTTTATGGTTAATATCTACAGCCTGAAAAGAGCCAACTTTGGTTACAGTTGCTATAAAAATGACAAATCCATCATTTTTGTATATATATTCTGTGATCTTGTTTGCTACCAATTCAATTACTGGGTCATCCCATGCAGAAAATTAAGATGTTAAGTCGTAGTAGCTGTAAAGGATGACACCTTTCTGTGCTGTTTAATACTGACAGCCCTCCTAAGCCAGAAAGTGCAGCTACCTGACATAGAGCTACACATCTATAAATGAATTTGTTTCTTCACTGTGTTCTGTCAGCCTAGCAGAGGACTGTAGGTGCTTTGACATTAACCTCCTAGGGTTCAATAACATGGTCAGAAATGATAATCAACTGAGATCTGAAGTATTTCTGTAAACAAGTTCTACTGCAAACAAAAGGTAGGTGAAAGGGGGTAGCAAAAAGGGTCAGAGAATTTTCATTCTCTGCAGCAATCTTTTAATGTTTATAATACTGATAATACTGATTTCCAAGTATAGCGTAGGAGAACATGACATTCTGTGGAAATGGACTTTTTTTTCACAGAAACACTGAAAGCATCTTAACTGGAGCTATGAAACAAGGCTAAGTTTAAAGATTGGTCCAAAATCATAGAATCACAGAACGGTTTGGGTTGGAAGGGACCTCAGAGATCATCAAGCTCCAACCCCCCTGCTGCAGGCAGGGCTGCCGACCTCCACATTTAACACTAGGCCAGGTTAGATGTATACTTGCAGGAAAGCAACATGATATACAAAACAGCTTTATGAAGAAACCAGGACCGTTGCTTTAAACAAATCATTTTCCCTTGGGCATGCCGTTACAGCTGTTTCCAAGTGAGCTTCTCATTTACTTCCACAGGGCATCTCATCTGTATAAAGATTCCCCAGATAAAACAGTATGCCTAAAGGAAAACATTAATCATTAACAGCTACAGAAGATGTTTGCAGTTGCTTGGAAGGCAGCCCTGTGTACCTCCTGGATGCACGACAACTCAGGCGAAAGCACTGCAGCACATGACACGTTGGTAACTGCAGTTCAGACACGGGCAAAGCCAGGATGACGCGTCCTTTTGATTTCTGCACCACAGAAGCAGCTGATGGCTCACTGTCCTTTGGGCTGTCACACCACCAGGTTTCATGCCAGCTGATGGCTCCCTGTGTACCCCTTCAGGTGATCGAGGTCTTCCGTAAAAGGGTTGTAGCCTTGTTCCCTCAGGCACCGCAGGGCCCAGAAGAGCTGCTCTGCTGGGGGAAACTCATCCCATTTAACCCACTCCCAACCTGAAAGAATAAAAAATAAACATTGTGACCGTACTACCTCTCCAAATCTGTATGGGTGCTTCTTGCGCAGAAGCTGCCAACGCCGTACTCGGGCTCAACGTTAAGCCAGCGGCTGCCCAAGTCAGGCGCCGCAGCCCCGCCCCTCCCGCCCTCACCCTCGTTCTTGTCGGGCTCGCAGTTGTGCGGCTCCTCCCCGGGCTCAGCCTCGCCCTTCATGAGGACGGTGACGTAGTGGTAGCGCGCGGCGGCGCACACGGCGTTGACGGCGGAAGCGAAGCGCACGTTGCGCAGGCGCAGCGCCGCCTCCTCCAGCGTCTCTCTGGCGGCGCACTCCGCCAGGCTCTCCCTGCGGGCGGACCGGGAGCGTCAGGAGAGCTGCGGTCCCGCGGCGGGCAGCCGGCCGTCCGCGCCGCCCGGGGGGCCGGGGCTCCTACCCGAACTCCAGATGGCCTCCGGGGAGCTGGTACGTGCCGGCTCCTATCGGGCCTTTCCTCTTGCCCAGCAGGACGCAGTTGGGGTGCGCGGGGCTGGTGACCACCACCCCTACGCCGATCCCGGGGCGCTGGGGTCGCGTCGCTTCGCCCATGGCGGCAGCGCGCCGTGCACGACGGTGCCTCCGCTACCGGACGGCTGTGGCGGTGCGCCGGCTGCGCATGCGCATAGCGGCGTCTCGTGGAGAGGCGTGGCCTCGCCTCAGGCGCTCTTCCCGCCCGCCGCCAGGGGGGGAAATGCTCGCAGGCTGAAGGACGTTGTGCGGCTGATAGCAGTGTAAGCACAGCAGCCTTAACTCGTGTGGAAAGCAGGGTGTTAACCAGGCGAGCAAAGAAGGCTGGCTTCAAACAAGAACGTCCCACCTAGATACGACTCCATGCCATGAGATACAGGGTTCCAGTTGATCTACAGATCTGTTTGGAGCGGATGGTTCTTACTGTGTCAGCTGGTGGTTTCAGCTAGGTGAAATCACTTAGAAATTATTCAAGAGAAAACCCGCAACCACAGTTATGCAGAAATCAAGAGGCACAATGGCAGTTCTTTAAGGGTGAAATGGAAAAATAAATGAAAATTTGTGTTAACAAACATTTTTCATGTTTCTTTCAATTATAGAATGACTGGCATTGAAAAAAAATTCACATACTACGGAATCATAGGGGTTAGAAGGGACCTCTGGAAATCCTCCAGTCCAGCTCCCTATTAGGACAGATTCCCTGTACCAGGTCGCACAGGAAGGTGTCCATGTGGGTTTGGAATACGTCTGGAGAAGGACAACTCTGGCCAGCCTGTTCTAGTGCTTTATAAGTTCAAAGTAAAGCACTTAACTATGTTTGTATGGAACTTTCAGTGTGCCAGTTTGTGCCCGTTGTCCCTTGTCATATTGCTAGGCACCAAAGAAAAGAGCCTGGCCCCATCCGTTTGACTACCACCCATTAGATGTTTAGCATATTAAGCACTGATAAGATTCCCTCTCAGTCTTCTCCAGTCTGCCAGGTCTATCAGCTTTTCTTGTAAAGAAGATACTCCAGGTCCTTAATCATCTTTGTAGCCCTATGCTGGACTCTTTCTGTAAGTTCCTTGTCCTTAAACTGAGAGCCCAGACATGGCCTCCGCAGGGCAAAGAGTAGAGGGGGAGGGTGGCTTTTCTCAACCTGCTGACCACATCCTTTTCAATGCACCCCAGGATACCGTTGGCCTTCTTGACCACAAGGGTACATTGCTGGCTCATATATTCTGTCTAAATAACTAAAATTTGTCATTGGCCATGATTTTCCCTTTCACCAGCCCACTGATCACAAAAAGGATATGAAGTCCTTTTCAGGACTTTAAAATAGTATTTTGTCCTGCTTTGAAAATGTACCTTTATACAAGTATTTTTATTCACTTATTACAAAGGTCATTTGGCCAAATTGGCTGCCTATTGATCGCTACTTTTTGTGGGATTTGTTTTCTGATGTTGGGTTGCTTGAACTGACTCCGTATGGCCTCAGATGACCCCAGTGTTGGTATGCAGAAGTGCCAGACTGTGTGTTGGAGGCAGAGGTGCCCTTTGAAACTAGTTGTCTGTTTTTATCTGTAATGTCAGTCCACACCCTGAATTACTGATATCAGTATGTTAAAAAAAAAATATCTCAGGCAAAATCCCAGGCTAATGGGCATTCTGTGAACCCAATTCATTTATTTCTGTCTGTGTCTTCCAGTATAGGCATAGTAATCCTCAGATTAAACACTGGTCAGTTATGCCACTTGTGTATTGAAAAGATGATAATGATTTTAAATTTTACCAAAGACTACTCATCATCATCAGCAATTAAAACATTCTTCTTTGTGTTAAGTGTAAATCATTTTCCTGTATCTTACACCAAACAGCATTTACAAAGAGGACTGAGGATTGCCTGCTCTCATTCAACTCATGCTGTTAAATGCAAAAACTACTCGTGGTCATTACGTTTGTTTCAGTGGTAGCAGGACAACTACCTTTGCTTACAAACGTATGATTTTTGGTGGAGGCTTTGGAATACAGGTGTTTGTCTTTGATTCAATTTCCTTATATTATGTTTGCAATCATTAGCAAAGGATGCTGTAAAAATAAAGCACTTCTTTTCTGACTGACTCTGTTTTAATTGCTTTTTTTACAGGACTTATTTAGGATGCAGGTGTGCATTCAGCTTTTGCACAGATTGTTAAAGAAATATTTCCAATATAAGTGTGATGATGAACAGACATCCAATGCAGAAAAGAGATGAAAACAAATCCAGAATGAGAAAGTACAATTTCATCTTCTATAATAGTAATAGTAAATATATACATAGTAAAGATTTTCCCTTTCACTCAATCAGCCATAGACAAACTGGGGGATGAAAGGCTGGAGAACAGACCCACAGAAAGAATAACAAGAGTTTGAAGGGACCTCTGAACATCACTGAGTCCAACCCTTTGCTAAAGCCTACAGTAGGTTGCACAGGAAAATGTCCAGGCAGGTTTTGAATATTTCCAGAGAAGGAGACCTCATGACCTCTCTGGGCAGCCTGTTCCAGTAAGTAAGTTTTTTTCTCATGTTTGGATACAACTTCCTGTGTTACAGTCCAACCGTGTTCCTGGGTTCCTTCCAACTCAGGGTATTCTATGTTTGGTGATATTGCCATACAGAGAGCTGATTCCCATCTGGCAAAGCAGTGAGAGAACTCCATTGACTTGGGAGCTAAAATGAGTCTCTTGGGGACCTACTTCACTTGTGCAGAGTGTTAGGATGATAGGCAGTGAGTGTTTTTGAGCACTAGAGCAGGCTGCTTGCAAAGGCTGTGCAAGCTCTGAAGTTACTGATGAAAACTCAGCTGGACAGAGCCCTGGGTGATCTGCTTGAAGTTTGTATGAGGGGAGTAGGATGATTGTAACAGATGGCCATTCCAACCTAAATTATCATCTGATTCTATTCTGGTAGCAGCTAGGACTTCTTCTGATGAATTTATGTACTCACTATTTGCAAAAACATAGGAAATCAGCAAAAGGTCTGCATTTTTTATTTAAATAATGATTCTAGCTGCTAATGTAATGGGAAGGAGCAGCTCCTCACTCTTACGTAAGCAGTTCCTCTGAGTTAAAGATCTCATCTACTTAAAGCTAAGAATGGATGACAAGCTCTGTAAGATCACAGAAATGTCTTATGTCCTTTGGGATTTGTCAGGGCTCTAAGCAACCTGATCTAGCTGTAGATGTCCCTGTTCACTGCAGGGGATTTGGTCTAGATGACCTTTAAAGGCCCCCTTGAACTCAAACAATTCTGTGATTCTATGATTTGTATTTCTTGAGGAGATAAAAGAGAAGTTGAAAGTGCTTAGTATTTTATAATTCCTTGATTTTAGTTTTGGTAAGTTTTCTAAACTTTAAATACTAATCCTATCAATTTCTAGCATATTTGCTTTTCTGTGTCAAGGGAGAAATTTCAGGAAACAGTTCTGTTAATTATAAGAGATGCAAGGGGGAAAATATAAATTGGATTTGGGAAAAAAAAAAAGCCTTTCAGGAGGAAGAAGATGCAAATTGGTCAAAAGATGAACATCTTTTCAAGTTAGCATCAATAAATCTCCTTGCCACTTGTACACAGAGCGTTTTAGAGGCTTGCCATTATTATCTGAGTATTTCACCTCACATGGCATATTCCAACCCCTCCAGCTTAAATGTGCCCACTTAATTTTCCTTGAGATGCTGTCAGTTGGAACTGAAAGGTAGTTTTGCCTCACAGCTGAGAAATCAGGGCGATGCCCTTGTCGTGTTCAGTATCAGCAGGTGAGTTTAAGACACTTTCAGAACTGAGTATTCAGCCAAAAACTGCTCACACAGTCAGCGAAGCTGAGACCTGATCTAATAAGCTGTCACCAACTGCCTATGAGAAATGTTGATGACAAGAGAGTATCTCGTCTCCATGATTCCATTACAATTCCAGGACTGATATTCTTCATTTCCTTCTGCTGATGTAAAACAGTAGATGCTTTAGGCAAAACAAACAGAGAAATCAAATGCCTTATTTTTGTTATTGTTGTTGCCTTTTCCATTCAGATTCAATCATTAAATTGTCCTGATAAAATTGGCATAAATGCTGCCATGCTTATAAGAGGAGTCTTGCATGAGGTTGACAACTGTATCTTTTCCTGGGATCCTGTGCTTTGGAGATTTTAGATAAAATAGGATTTTTCACTAGAGTCCAGTTCTGTGACAGTTAAACAGATTTTGCTCTTTGTTGTCACAGAAGATCCTTGCAATACATGTCTGAGTACTCCACTGTTCTTATCATTACCTGTGTGAAACATGACAGAGTAGCTGACAGGAGTATCTTCCTATTTAATAGCTTGTCATGCAACTTGTTAAGCTGCAATGTGCTTCCATTTGTAAAAAAAAAAAACAAAACTATGTTGCCTTTTGTTCCCCAAATCCACTCTTTTTTTTTTCCCCTTCTACATATGTGACAGACAATGATATTTGTGATAGATTTAGATTTCTAATAATACCCCTAATAAGCTTTGGTTTGTTTTCTTATAATTTGAGATTTTAATTTATTCGCCTTTATGTTATTTCTCAGTAATTGCAAATATGCTGTCAAATATGCTGACAATTAGTATTAAATGCTTGTCAAACCATTTTTCTTTTCTTTTTAGTGGAAACCAGATATGATACTTTGTATGTCTCCATTGAGGATTTCATAAAATCTACACAATGCATCTGAATATTAATCAAGGAAAATGAAAGAAGATTGGTGAGGGACAAGAAGTTAACTTGGTCTGCCTGCCTGAGCTTATGGGAAGTGGAAGAAGATGAAAGAAAGGCTGACCTGCTGAGGTTGCTGCTTAGGTCCCATGTGGCCTGGCTGTCTGTCCAGGCTTTGCCTCTGAACTTGGACACTTCCTTTTCTACAGCTGTAGAATAGGATAACACAAGAGAACTTTTTTGTTAGAAAAATCTTTAGATAGAAAGCTGGAAAATATTCACAGTATCTTCAGTGTGCCCCTGGCCTGTCACAGTACTTAGTAATTTGATGGAGTGGCCAACTATGAAACTGTGAAGAATATAGAGCAATGAAAATAAAGACTGCACCCTTGAAGCTAAAATACTGGAATAATCAGAAACAACTGTTCTTAATTTTCCAAATGAAGATGGGAAATTTTGCAGAAGTTAGCTTGCTTTATCTCTGCCTGTGTCACAACCTTTATTACAAATCTATGATCTGCATTATTCTCCACAATCCTCACCTCTCTGTAAACTCCAACTCATTACATTTTCGTATCAGAATTTATGAGAGCTTTTAGGTTTTCTACATTGTGTACTTCCTTATCATAGAACAGAAAATTCTTGTGTTCAGTAG